CTCCTTTTTTGCAGTTGTTGGCCTTTTAAACGGACCAGTCTGCAGCATAATAAGGCTTTTAATTGAATAATTGATTTGCCTCATTAACACGTTTCAAAATTATACCCGTGCCCTTTGTAGTTCGAGTGTGTCTGCATTTTTTTGGTTCACACAAATTAGCCGTTAAATTGTATTTTCTTACTGGCCACCGTGTGCTGAGCGCAGGGCTGACGCTCCATCAGCTGGCTTAATGAGGAAGCAGAAGCAGAGAGCCAGACTGGACAGAAGCGCACAAACACACTTTGAGAGCACAATGCTAATGCAGGACCTTGTGCCAATTAAGATGTAGGATGGGTAAAAGCCAGAGTCAGACTGTGTACAGAGTCTGCTGCCCCATTGACTCCATCCTGCTCTGCTGTAATGCCTGGTGGTTTAGACATTATCCTGTCTGTGTTTAGGTCGACTTTTATGGACTATTGTTTAATCATATTAGGGACTTTTTCCTTGCAGATGTCCAGATTATCACCTCTAGCATTTGTTTTCTGTATACCAAAGGGTGCCCAAATTGTTTGTGTTGGGGTCAAAAGTAAAATGTTTGTGGTGGGCTGAGGGCCAAAAAGACAAAACAGTATATGAATACTGTAAGTAGGTAAGTTTAAAAACAATAATAAAAATATATATTTATTACATTACATATTTTCGTACTAAAATACTTTAAAATGAAGATTTTAAAAGGAAAATAAAAATGTAATAAGTCATAGGCTTATATTGAATAAAAATACTTTTGGATGCATTGGTGGGGTTCTGTAACTTGTAATGTATACACATATATATATATATACATACATACATATATATATATATATATATATACATACACATATATAATGGATCCATCCATCCATCCATCCATCCATCATCTAAACCGCTTATCCTTCTGGGTCGCGGTGGGGTGCTGGAGCCTATCCCAGCTGTCATTGGGCGGAAGGCAGGAAACACCCTGGACAAGTCGCCAGTGCATCGCAGTATAATGGATCCATTTTTTCTTAATTTAGTTTTGTCTAAATAGATTTTCTTTTTGATAATAATAATAATAATAATAATAATAATAATATGTTATTATTGTTTATGATTTTATTGTTGAATTTGTATTTGTTTTATCATTATATTTTGTTTTATAGATCATGGTATATACAAAACAGGTCAAAGTGATATAGTAATAATTAATAAAAGGACAATAATAATAATAATAAGTACATTGTTATTTTATTAGTTTTGTAATATTTTGTTATCATTAATTAAAATAATTAATAAAATGACAAATAATTAATGAAAATCAAATAATAAAATGAATAATAATATAAATAATAATAATATGTAAATTGTTTATTTTTTATTATTTATAATTTTCTAGTAATATTTTATTTTTTAGATCGTGGTTTACACAAAGCAGGTCAAAGTATTATAACAATTAATAATGGTAATAATATGTATTTTGTTTATTATTTTACAATCAGTTTTATTATAATATTTTGTAGGTCATGGTTTATCCAAAGCAGGTCAAAGTGATGTTATAAGAATAATAATTAGTTACTAATACTAGTAGTAATAAAATAATAATAATGGATCCTACAGATGATAACAACTTGTTATTGTAACTTATGAGTAGCAACTGTAACATAAATAACTGCAAAGAAGCATCACAGGTTTCAGATGGTCCTTTGAGTTGTCATGGTTCTGTATATAAGCACTAAAGCACTCTTGAAGAGTGTAGAGTTTGTAGACTGTGTCAATGTCATTTTACTACTGAAAAAAACAGACTGTCCTGAATAGCTATGGTCAATCAGAGCATCGCATTAGGTTCTGTTGTCTATTCCATGTTAAGACTGCAGTGTTATACAGTGCTTGACTCAATGACCCCAAAGCTCACTGTCCACTTCTCCTGACCGTGTTATCCTTCACTAAGGCAGGGTACATACTCATCTCTAACAATGGACCTGTTTCTTGTGCTTGCTCTCTGTTCATTGTGATATGTCCACATGCTTTGGTCCTTTTTCGTTATCATTTTTATTCAGTGTTACTTTGAGTTTCATTCAGTGTTATTTTGTGTACTGTTAATGCATTATTTTTGTTGTTGTGTACTGCTGTGTGTTTGTGTCTCTTTGTTTTGATGGCTTTGGTTTCAAACTGCATGTTTTCTGCCATAGTTTGACTGTAGCCAGGCAGTCAGCAGACCCAAGGGCATCAAAGAGAGAAAAGGTAAAAACCACTCATCCAGAGAGCAGCAGGTGTGGGGCATGGTGGGACCCCCGCAGCCTGCCTGTGTCATTCGCCCGTCCGTTCGTCCGTCCGTCCGTTCTCTCGCTCTCTCTCCACTCCACTCTGTAGTCTCAGTAGAGAGAAACAAACAATTTTAGACCTGTAAATGACTCCCTGAGCTTCCTCTCCTGATCCACCTGCTGGCAAAAGTGACTGTGATTGCTCCTGTTTCATCTGTGCTGTTCCAGTACCGTAATGTCCTTCCTGCCTCATCTGTGTTTAACCGTGTCCTCTCTCCCCTTCGACTTCCGTAGAAAGTGTAAGCCGAACTTGCTCCTTTGTTTCTGTACTTTTCTCACCGTTTGCTTTTGCTTGAGTGCAAGCTTTCTAATCTTTTGCAAGAGGAGGGATCGTCATGCTGTTTGGCAGACACAAAGCAAGGGAAGAGAGAATCAGTATGCAGGGGAATGTGGATAATTTTTACACAGTAACAATGTTTAAAGGGCCCATATCATGAAAAAAAGTAAAAAAAAAAAAAAAACAGTTGTTTTGCTTTTTTGGAATGAATGAGTTTGATGCAGTATGTAAGCAATGTTAAATGTACCATTTACTTCCTGGTCCATACAGTCAATATATGGAAACTAAGCTTCAAAATGTTAAATTGGTCATGCCTTTGATGTCACAACCATGAACACAGTTACGTATGACCACCCTTTCAACCTACAATAGTTTGGCCTTGCCTATTTGAGAGTTATTGTAGTGGACGATTTGAGGAAAAGGATTAAATGTGCTGTTCATGGCTGTCAGGAAGCAAATGGATCACTACAGCCTTTCAAAGCATCCTTATATCTGAAAGGTTTCTATTTTCCTGACATGACTGAGGAATTCTGCTGGAATCCAACAGCCTGTTCTGTACATTTCAGCTTGGACTGAACAGGGTACATTACAGGGCACCCAATCATAAAAGAGGTCATTTACATACATCAGTCTTTAAGGTGCAACAGCAAAGAGTTCATGGAATGCCAAGGCATAAAGAGAGCTTGGAAAATGTACATTTTATTAATTATTAATTAATTATGACTTTTTTGGCAGATAAAACCTAAGAAAAGACATAAAATACATGAAAAGAGCATGTGCCCTTTAGAGTGAAGCAGTAATTACTGTTACATACATTTAAACTAGACTGCGGTTGAGAGCAGCCAGTCAGAACAGAAGTCGTGGTAACAGAAAGAATGTGTTTAATATAAAAAATGTCATGTGGGGACAAATTATGACTTTTGGTAAAGAAAATCTAGGAGAAAACATAAAATGCATTAAAAATGTAGAATATGGAAGTAATTATAGTTTGTTACATATATTTTTGACTGGACTCTGATGGAGGCACAATAAAAGACAACCAATTAAAACAGTAGGTATTTGCATATCAGTTATGATAACAAAAAGCCTGTTAGGTTCTAAAAATGTAATGAATTATGACTCTTTTTGATAAATAAAACCTAGGAGAAAACACAAAATGCATGAAAAATTTATAATATAGACCTTTTAAAGCAAGACCCTGAGTAATTAATGTTTGTTCCATACATTTTCTATTGGAGTGCTAAGAAAGAGGGCAGACCTTCAAGGCAGCCAACCACAAAGAGATCATTTACCATATATCAATGGTAAACGAAAGGAAGTAATTTAAAAAATGCTCATGTAGAAATTAATTATGACTGTTTATGTGACTGTGCCTGGGTTTGACCAGGGTCCTCTCTGTGTGCATGTTCTCCCCGTATCTGTGTGGGTTTCCTCAGGGTGCTCCAGTTTCCTCCCACAGTCCAAAGACATGCAGTCAGGCCAACTGGACATGCTAAATTACCCCTAGGTGTGAATGTGTGTGTGTGTGTGTGTGATTGTATGTGTTTGTGTGTCTGCCCTGCGATGGACTGGCGACCTCTCCAGGGTGTTTCCAGTCTTCCGCCCAAAGACAGCTGGGATAGGCTCCAGCACACCCCCGACCCAGAAAGATAAGCAGCTTAGATAGTGTGTGTATGTGTGTGTGATTTGATATATAAAAACTTGGAAATGTTATAAATACACCTACAATAAAAGAATAAAATGGATATGGGTACAAAACAAGAGAAATGCAGGATATGGGCCCTTTAAAAATAGTTTCTTCAAAGACATAGTTTGCCTCAGCACACATTTCGAATAGGTCTTCCCTAAAATGACCCTCTCCTCCACATTTTACACCCAGTTGGGTAGAGGTGGTAGCATGGAAAGGGAAGTGCTGAGACGGTCCCTATGGCAGAATTCCTGGAAATCAGCCTTCATGCTAAACCAGGTTCCAGGAAAACGCAAAGGGGTTAGAGAGTGCATTTGCATGTGCTACTGTCCTCTAACGCCTGCTCCTCCAGCAGCATTCAGTGCCTCCGATCTTTCCCTGCAGCAGCAGCGTAGACTAGCGGTGCTCCTGACCCCGCGGTAGAGTAGAGACGTGATGTCCAAACAGGTTCATGTGTGCTGCAGTGAGCAGGAAGCCTCTGCTGTCATATTGAGCGCAGTGCTGCAGATGGTTAGGTTGTCTTTTTCTTTCACTGGCTGAGGGGGAGAGAGAGATGGGGGGGAGGCACAAGCCTCTAAGACTGCGTACACCTCTGTCGAGGTAAAAAAAAAGAAAGAAAGGAGGAGGAAAAAAACAAATGTTGCCTTCCCCACAGACATGCCAGTGACTGTGATTTCCCCCTTCTTCTCTTTCTCTTCCCTCATTTTTATCACAACAGAGGGAAAAGCGATGGAGCATTTCATCTGCCGGAGGTGAAAAGAACTCTTCGAGTGTAAGTAGAAAAGAACTGACAGGGAGAGATGGGAGAGGAAGAGAGAGCGAGTTGGGAGACATTGCGAGAGGCAGAGAGAGAGAGAGAGAGAGAGAGAGTGTGGAGGGAACGGAGGCTGGCATAAGCAGCAGAATCACGTTAGCATTCTCTCAGGAGCGAAGTTGGGCTCCACTCCTGCATCAGCGGCTCTTCTGCATTACAAAATGTTCCTTCTCCAACATTTAACATGCAAATTGGCTCCCAGATTATGCTTTTTGTATTCATTTTGCCAACTGTCAGCCTGTTACGCCGGATGAATGATAATCAAGCTGCCATCGCCCCCTGGTGGTTAGAGTCAACATCACCGCAGATGCCCCTGTTTCAGTCACAATCCAGTGGACACCAAAAATTCTGAAGAGAACTAAAATAGAAACTGAAAAAAAAGTCAAAGCACTTAGTAGCTTAGGATTCTGTGTGCGTGTTGTGTGTGTTTGTGTGTGCAAAGGCATTCGTGCTTTTATGTCTGCAATTATGTCCTATTAGTATCCATCCATGTTCTTTCTGCATCCCCAATGAGAACAGACTAGATAAAACTAAATTTTAGGACTACCTTCCATAGCACACATGGAGGCAGACACACTGAGAGGTCAAAACATTGCTGTGCTTCACATAAGTCATTCCATTTGGAAGACATGCAGTCAGCAGGACCAAAGGAACAGAGTGACATGCAGTAATCAAATGCATTTTAAAGGCTGAAAAGAGTGAGGAAATGAACAGGGCCTAGAATTGAACCCTGTGGTAAACATATCCTGATAGTAGTGGGCTGGTTTGAAAGGTATGCATTTTGTCATAACCTTTATACCAGTAGGCCACAAACAAGCACAGATAACACAGCATACATACCACACAAAACGCTAAGGTTAGAGTGTTAAGCTGAATGACAAAAGGTCTATTTAGCTAATGGAGAAAAAGATGTTTCAATGATGTTTCAGCAAAATAAGGAAAAGCAGCAGTAGGTGTAAGCATGAGTGATGTAACAACTCGGACGTGAAACAACATTGTTGGGGTGATGAAGCTGCTTGCCATTGGTTTTATTATATATATATATATATATATATATATATATATATATATATATATATATATATATATATATATATATATGTAACAAAACCTCATATCTCTGAAATGATAACTTTACCGCAGAAGGAAAAAACATGCTTTACTTTTAATGTAAGTCAATGGAACCAGACTTTTTTCCAAATAATTTTGGGCCGCTTCTTTTGGTCTATTTATCATGACATGTACACAATGTAAAATTGTGACAAAAACTGAAAAATGCTAAAAATGAAGATACGACAGCAGCAATATTCAAGAAATGTTGTTAACATGTTAATTCTAGACACATTTTTCTACAGCATTTATTCACTGGGTTATTCTATAGGGACTCTTATTGTGAAGGTGGGGCTAGCCATAGTGTTTATGTGCAGATCAGAAAGTCTAGCACTGACAGCTGAGAGAGTAAGACGTAGCGAAAATCTGCTCATGTATGGCGCGGCTGTGGCCAGCTGGTTAATAAACCACCAGGAGTTGTGTGAATGCTGTGTCTGCTTTAGTACTATGGCAACACTGCCCACTTAAAAAAGTTTTGCTTTGAATTTACTCACATTTCAAATTGGTTTCAATTAAATAAAATACATTCCATCACCATAATTCTTGACTAAAAAGGTAAAATGCAATGAAAGTAATGGTGCTTACGTGGTTTCATGTGGAACCAGTGTACATATTTGAATGAACTAAATTCAAAGCAAAACTTTTGGTAACTCTGTTTAATGGCTACCTGCATCAAGACTTCATAACACATGAGTAAATATTGAACTATGTACTTATGAGGTTTGTAGTTGAGCATTTATGAACAGCTTTAAGATGCCGTTAATCGCAAGATGACAGGATGTTTTATGAAGTAAATGTAGCAAGCCTGGCATTTTAAGTGGGTAGACATAAAGGTGATAGACATTTATTCCTTTTGTAACATCTTAAAAACTAACCTTTTGTGCTTAGCCTTATATAAGCTCCATCATTTGAGAAGAACATAGTTATGACAGTGTTATAAATAAAACAACCTGTCCATCACTTTAGTTTAAGGTCCCTTAAGTCAGTACAATGTTATTTATTTCATTAAACATTTTATGTCATCTTGTGATTAATAACATAAGCTGTTCATAAATACTCAAGCATTGCTTTATAAATATGTTATTCAATGCGTATTCATGTGTAACGAAGTCCTTATGTAGGTAGCCTTCAAATGAAGTGTTACTCTTTTTTCAATATACAACGTCCTGATATGTATTTATTTATTCGTTTATTTGTCCGTTGGCATTAAATTCATCTAATTATTCAAATTAAATTTCTTGTAAATTGCATGCTAGTGTTATTTTAGTGTACAGGTTCTATCCAAAGCTGGAATGTTATCAAAATATTGCATGAAATGACAAAAACAGATTCTCAATTCCGGGTGACCTGAATTGGTCGGCTCTCAGAATTCCATTTTAAAATGCTTATTTGGCCGCTTTCTTACTTATCATAGCTGAACGTACATAATCTGATGGGAAAATGTTGATACATTTCCTTGAGGCAACAGTGTGTATTGCATATTACATATAAATCTGTATTACATATTACAGATTTCATGCATATTATGGCAATTATGTTTATATTACATACAAATAATAGCTTGGAGGAGACGGTGGCAGGTCTATCGCTGCCCAGCTACAGCTGTGGTGAAATTAGAGACTGTTCAAATAGATATTTCCCCTCATCCTTTTTTATTGTGTGTTTGTGGACACAGGATAAGTCCACCTCGGACGAGCAGCGCTCCTGGGACAGCTTTAAGACCATGACCCCCGAGCCTTCGTGTGGCTCCAGCGGTCAGAAGGACAGAGTGGAGCTGCACAGTAAGACATGGGACGCTTCCTCCGCAAACACTCCGGACACATCCGAGGGAGACTTCCAGACTGAAGTGTGAGGGAAAAAAACACATGCATTTCCAAACAAACACTCATACAAACACATCCATGGCGTGACTTTCTACCCAGAGGAGAATCTAAAGGATTATACACTTGTTTACCACTGACGGGACAGACCAGAAAAAAAAACAGAAAAAAGACTCTATTCTATTCCTATATTTTCACAAGGACGCTTTCAATGAAAGAGAGGGGGCTTGAAGAGTATATGGGGAGAATTTTTAACAAACTGTTTCTGAAATGTCTTGATTTTACTTCGGAAAAGGATTCTCTTTCACCTGTTTGATGATTTGGAAATTATGAAAAAAAAAGAAAAAAAAATATTTCTGCACCATTCTTTTTATAGAGGAAAAAAAAAAAAAGAAAAGAACTCTTACTGATGTTTCGCACAGTGTTCAGCACCGTAGGGTTTCGTTCCTCCTTTCTGTCCTGTCTTTTTCCTAATGGATGACTCCAGCTCTCTGCTTTTGGTTTTGGTTTTTTCAGGGGAAGGGGAAGGTTTAAAGTGGTTCATTAATATGTGCCATCATTTTTTTTCTTTTTTTTTTTTTCCCTTTTGTCCCCCAGCATAAAGCCTACTGTATTCACTCGAGCACTCTTTGAGTCCTCTTTTTGAACGTCGAGTTCCTTTTTTTCTTTTTTTGCAAGTTTCATTTAGACTGTCCCTCATTTTGTTTAATTCCTTTGCTATAAAATCGGGAGAACGACAGAAAAAAAAAAATAAGATGAACTAATTTCTTTGGTTGTCAAGTTTTCGTGGAAGTAGGTTTCTTCTTATTTCTGCTGCTGTGTGAATGTGTGCTATATTTAAGTTACAAAATGACTGATAGCAATCACATACTGGGTGAGTCAAATGCATAGGAACGATTTATGAACAAAAGAACAAAAAACACAACTCTCTCTTCTGTTATGTTCTTCTCCAGCTCGGCTGAAAGTAGTCAAATGAACCATGGAGATGCCGTTTCTTTGTAGATAAGATACAGCCGTTCTGCAGCATCTCTTTTATTCTCCAGCATCATCCACCCACTGCTTAAAGTGCGTATTGATTCCAGCTTGATTCAGTGGCCATCCCCTTAAAACGGAGGAAATAAAGTCTGTTGCCAGTGATCCTAAACTATCCGTTACCGCGAAAAGCCGTTCATAAGAGAGGCTCAATAAAGGAGTTTGTAAAAGACTAAGCTATGGCATAACAAATAACAACAGAGCTTGCATCAACAGTGCGGAGAGGGATTCATTAGTCCACATCAACAGCTTTATTCTGGCATAAACCTCATGGTTTAGGCATGCAGGCGTCTAGATCACCTTAAGCTGGAATGAAACAGGCAGCCCCCGCAGGCCTGCCTTCACCAAGTGATCGATATCCAGACTGAGCTAAAGCAGGACAGAATAGCACCTCTTTTATTCCACATGAAAGCCGAGAAGGTCAAACCTCAAACCAAAATAATCCTTCCCAACACAGATATGCACTCAGCAGTCTCCAGTGAGTGGATGGCTTATATCACGTCAGCTGCACTGGAAAAAGTGATGCGTTGAATTTACCTCCACATTTCCACATGAATAACATGTTACACAAGCAATTATATAAATAAACTGAAAGCAAAGGGAATGTAATACATGTAACGTATGTCCAAAAAGTTTGCCCCTCTGATGTTTCTCCTTATATGAGAGTATAAATAAGGAGTTCCCTTTGCTGCAGTAACAGCCTCTACTCTTCTGTGAATGCTTTGGAACATTGCTGTGATAATCTGATTGCATTCAGCCACAACAGGTCAGATTCTGGATCACAAACTCCACTGTAGCCCATCCCAAAGCTACTGGATGGAGCTTTATCACTCCAGAGAACACAGTTTCACTGCTCCACAGCCCAATGCTGGGGGCTTTATACCCATGCAAGGGGTGCTGGATGCCTGTCTTTGAGCATGGTACATCTGCTCCAAAGTATCCCATTCTAGTGGTCAGTGCTTTTATATAGAGATCATACAAGATTTGTGCGCACAATTAAACACCTGTATCAGCTGTATGGGAGCACCTGAAAGTAGCTGAGTTTACTCATTAGAAGGGGCATCCGGATACTTTTGGTCAATTTATTCCCATTGACCTCATGTAAATTCAGTGCATCACTTTCTTTAGAGCATCAAAGACAGATCTGTATCGCGTTATTTCAAATTACAAAGCAACATATTTGATTTGCACTGGGTTTTAGTAGTCCTGAACAGGGATGCAAACGTTTTCGAACAATAAATCATTAGTCAGTAGTGAATTGTTAACAGGCAAGCCAAAAATAAAGGACAAAGCCCATCAAAATCTGAATTATAATACAGTTACAGTTCTAAAATTGGATTGGTTGAGCCACATTCAACATCGTTGTAAAATACGTAATATATGCACACTTATAAGAACGTAATTCTGTAATAATGTATCAAGATATTAAAAAGTTCCTTATGTGGAGTGTAGAACACAGTACTGATAGGTGGGGCCAGCCGTAAGCATGTACATGGAGTAAACAGGACGAAACCATATTGAACATACCCTGCATAAGAATCCAGTTTTGTCCAAAACTAAGTGGCTGACAACTGTATGTTCATGATTATGCATCCAAATACTATTGAGTTAACTGGAATCTATAATGATGAGCTACTGAAGATACTAAATTTACCACTCATTACTAGCCCAAGAGATCAGAAATGCCATGACTGGGGCTGGCTTTGACTGGTAACACTTTAGGGTGCTGTTCAAAAGGCTACATGACACCTCCATAAGCATGTCATGATGACTGACATAACCCTACATAAATGTTTATAAATGCTTATTCCAATAGGCATCATTTGCTATGAAGGTTACATTTACCAATTTTGATCAAAGTTAGCTAAAGGAGCCTTTATGACAGATGATGCCTGTTGGAATAAGCATTAATAAATATTTATGTAGGATTATGTCAGTTATCATAACAAGCTTATGTAAGTGTCATGAAGCCTTATAAAGAGCACCCTACAGTAAAGTGTTACCCTTTGACTCAATGTACCTCTATAGCTTTTGAAAGCCTTCACCACATGCTTCTCTATATGTTTCCACACTCGTGTGATTTCCTCACACTGCCGTGAATCACACTTTCGACATGGTGTGCAGCTTTTGTCGTAGTTGTGCTATCATCATCTCAAAAAGTAGTGCGGACACCACTATTTTTAGCTGCATTTTAGTAGGCCTATGTGGCCGAACAAGAAACTCACCTGTTCAATTAGGATCTGTCGTTTATTGGAAATAAATTAAATTAAATTAAATTAAATTAACGTTTTTTAACCTAAAGCAGTGATCAAACGGTTTGTCAGCTAAAACTACACCAACATTCTCAAAATGTGGAGAACTGGTTTGAGGACAATGCTGAGAGAAACCATTACTCCGCTTCGAACTGCTTCTGCTGCTGTGTAGTCTTACATTCAACATTAGCGTCAGTGCTTGTGCTTCCTGATTATCTGCAAGTTTGCTTCCATACCTGCCAGGCTTTAGCTGACTCAACTTTATCTGTTTATGCCAAGAGTCCAGTGCCGAAAATGGGTTTAAAGCTGAGCGGAGCGTAGAGGTCATCTTCGCTGCCTCCTTTTCATTGTCTGCGACTCATACCAATTAGGCAGGTTGAGTAGGATGATGTAACTGCAGATGGAGGCTCAGGGAGGAAGGGAGATAATTACCTAGGGGCTGACAATTTGTCCTGACATTTTCTAACTTGGCGCAACAACCATCTGCTAAAAGATCCCTGAAGCCAGCACATCATATAGACACAGACTCCAAGACAAGATCATGCCACTTTAACCTTTGGAGGTAATCTGCAGTAATGGAGAACATGGCCGACCCTTTCATCTCGCAGGAAATAAATCTTTACCACCACTGTGATTAAAACTAATTCCCACTCTATTTTCTCAACAGTAAGTCCAGAAATTGATGGTGTTGCCCGGCCTCATTCATTTTGGGCTATAGGTTGTCAAGAGGGCCGTATTATTCAAGTACTTTCAGTCTTTGTCAAGTCAAACCACTTAGGTATCGTTAGCATTGCCTTGAGTTATAAGTACCCTAAGCCAAACAGGTAAGTGACCCATTCTTTTTTAAACTATGCTTTCATCTATCATGGAGCCAGTACACGCTCCCCCTATTTCATAAGCAGTGCCTACCTTTTTTCTCTTTGCAGTTTCTTTGCGATCTCTCTGCTCTTCATTGTCCGAGGCTCAAATCACTCAGACCTGTACGTTAACTGATGGATACTGACTCCACCGTGTAGCCCTCCGTCAGTGTTCCTTTGCAGATGTGTAGTTTTTTTCATCAGTGGCTCTGTTACCCACACGAACTCCTCGTTAAAAGTGTACTCTTGATGACCATGACCTTGCACCCAGACTGCCCCTCCCTTAACTGCATTTTGAATATATGCTTGTATTGCTCTTGAGAAAACTTGACAATTGCCTTACAGTCAAATTTATTTTATGAAATATGTATTTTGAATATATGTGTGTGTGCGTGTTGTGACATGTATGTATGATTGACACAAGTATGCAAAGGCTAACATGAATTTAGCCTACGTGACATTATACAGACAGTTCAAGGAAATACGCGTTTTCCCAGGAGTCATAGGGATTCTTCCACGTTACATCATGTTTGAAACTTTTGGCTTTTCCACCAACCAGCAATCACATCTTTCCCACAGGCTAGAAATGTTGGCTGTCACAGAAAGCCCCCCTTTTACCCCATTTATGTTTTTTTTTTTTATACACAAGATTGTACAAAGTAGTCCTCTACTGTTTTCATAGAGTGTCTTTTTATATGAAAATAAATTTTCAATCTGATGTATCAGTGTCTAGTGATATTTTCTTATTTAAAAAAAGATGTCAGTCATTGTTGTGTGTGTTTTAAAATGGGATTCCACAGATGTTTCTGCATAGTTAGATCATTACGATGATTCAGAGTGGTTTGATGTAAATGTGCCATTCTTGCCGCATCAGAACTGTTGATAGTGGAGGTTATAGGAACCAGACGTCTGAAGCCTTTAAAGGCACCATTACAGAAAGTTATGTTAAACACGCATATGTTGCATGAGCCCCTGAGACGTTGTTTTGCAATAGTTCTGAAATAAGCTTTGTGTCAGGCAAAATATTACCCAAAGAAAAGTTTTATTCAAATGTATTACTATTATATAATTATAAACATTATATATTGTCACTGTCAGAACAAAACATTGGACCACCAATATTGAAATTTACACAAGAAAACATTTCTATTGGTCCATTCATCATGAAATGTTGATGCCATATAAAGGTTAGCTGGTGTTTTCATTCATTCATTCATCATCTTTAACTGCTTAATC